CCTCCCAACATTGCTGCCCTCAACTGGAAGGCATGAACTAAATATCAAGTTGTATGTCATCACTCTTAAGAATGACACATATATGTATTTTAAGAAAACAGAAAGGCTACAATAACTATAATGAAATTCATTTATGCACTATAAATAGAATGTGTTTATATCAATATGTTCCTATATTTGGTTTTATATTCCTGAGCATCTTGCATGATTCTCACATTTCCCACTGAATAAAATCCAAAGCCAAAAACATTGCAGACAAAAAAAAGTATCTCTGATTTTACAGAGAAGAAGAATATTTTCTATTTGTTTAATTTCTTCATTGGGGACTCATGCTTGCTTCTTTTTTAAACCTGAGTTTTGTCAGGAGCTCTTTGTTCCTCCACGCTGCCCCCTGTAACTTTGGGATTCATGATTCTTGAGCTTGGAGGAAGACAATATTTAAAATCAACCAGCTCTCCTGGTCCTCCTTCTCTCCAGGTCTGCTTACAATATCATTAGTCCAAGCAGATGCCTGAACAGACCAAAACCTGCTCTCCAGATACCCAGGGTTGCGATCCTGCTATTTGCTTTATTTCCTTCCCTCAGGATCCTGAGCTCCACTATCTCATAGTCTCCGCAACAAAGGACATCCCCGTCCTTCACATTCCAAATCAGTTCTTCCTTGTTCTGGGGCTGATAATTGCAAACAACAACTCTGCTTGCTGGCTTCTCAGTCATCTGTATCAGGAAGTTATCATCAATGCACTCCAGAAATTTCCTGAATTCCTTGTGCCCTGCTTGTTGTCCTTCCAGCAGATCTTCAGCAGGTTGAAATAAATCCATGTGGACCAGGGACTGCAAATCACAGGTTTGTTTAAGTTGGAAAGGTCCTCTTGAGATTACCTAGTTCAACTCCTCTACTCAGGACGGGTCAGCTACGGCAGATTGCCCAAGACCAAGATGAAAGCCTCATCTTCTATTTCTTCCTGATCAGGCGGATCTGTAGCAGATGGCTAGTACTCGCAACAGTGTCACCCACGTTGTTCTGCTTGCCAGTCCTAATCCATAAGGTCTCAGCTGGCTTACCATCCAGGCAGAGCTCCATGCATGCCTGCTGCTGTCTTGCCAGTCTGTCCTTCCTGAAGATCCTGAATTCAGCCATGGCAGTGCTTCAGTTGTGTGAGCTGCAGCACCTTCTCTCTCTGATTCCAATGAGATAGCAGCCCTGCAACTGCATGTAGAACTCTAACTCCTCCTGTGTGCTCCCCACACTGCATGCATCAGTGTACAGGCACTTCAGAGAGACACTCAGTTGAGACAATTTTTCCAAGAATAGTGCTGAGGTTTCCTCTATTACTTTGTGATCTCAGCACCTTTATTCATACACACACACTTAAGATAGGCCCTCCTCTCTTCAGGTCTTATTATTTTTGAGGTTTCTCTTGCTCATACCAGCCACAACTTGCCCACATCTTGCTCTTTGTTTGCTAATCCAGTCCACCATTTCTTCCCTTGATTGTGGGTCATCATCTGCCTCTCCCATTTTTCCTATTTTAGAGCTTACATTACCAGATTGGTTGAAAACATTCATTTTGCCTTCAACAAGAGAGGTCTGAACTACTTTTTCTAATATTAATACTATATTACATAGGTAAAAGTTTCTACTGAAATTCAAATATATAAGTTGAAAAGACTTTATGTTGCTCCATCATTAAAGAAATTTGGTTACAAAAAGAGAATGGAAAAGGTGTAGTGATAGGTGTTATTTTTTTTCCCACAGCTCCCAACTTTGTCTATTTTTATTATCTAATTACAAACTTACTTGTCTGTGCTGACAGCATGATTAAGTAATTTGTAGAAAGAAACACATTGCTAATCGCCTTTTTTTTATATGAGAAAGTGTTTTTAACTTAAAACAGAATCTGGGTAACTAGGGACTCACAATGAACCTCTTCCTCATACTCTTATTTGGGAATGACATCAACCTTCCTGCTTCAGGATACAGAGGAATTATTCCAGTGTTTTGATTAAATAATTTCCTTTAGCTGCAAAAGATACAGAAAAAAATTGTATCTACCTGATATGTTATTTCATCAGAGTTTCCAGATGCTGAATGGGGTGTATGGCTCACCAGTATGACTTGCTGTGAGCCTGATCCACTTTGGCTAGCAAGACTGGAATCTGTGAGTATAGCAGGGAACTGCTGACCCTGTTGAAGAGGGGAGAAAAGATAAAAAAAAGGTACAATAACTATATTTAAACAGCTAATGGTAGTCATGTACATTATTTTTATACCTCAAAATTATTTCTTTTTTTTTCCTCCTTGAAAAAGTCCATTCTGTAATCCTATCTGAAGAAATACCACTGTTTTCTCTCCTTTTCTCCTTCTATTTTAAGTCTACCAACTTAAGGGTAACAACAACTAGAAGTCTGTAAGAGCAGAGATTCAGTTCTGATTAATTCTTCCCAGCCTTGCAACAATCACTGAATGTCTCGGCCTTCCCTTGTCTTTGTCTCTTCAGCTGATACTTTCCTTAACTCCTCTATTCTCCCTTCCTGCATGGTCTTCCCACAATATTTTCCTTTTTTAAATCTCTTAACTAAGCCTATTTCCAAAATACATAAAATCAAGGTACGAGATTACTAATTAAGATACACAATTACTCATATCACACTACTACAATTTCTACATTACTGTAAATACTTTTCAATTTCCCCAGGAAATACAGTACCTTCATGCACTACCTCTCTATTTATTAAGATTCCTGCAACATTGACTGTGTTTGCATAGTACCCAAAACAAGGTTTCATTTTTATTTATGCCTGCCTTAATATCAGACATAGTCGTCTCAACAACATCAACATTGTAATAATTGAAGCAATTATATTTGGCAAAGCCTGAAATGAAACCACACATTGCTTTGTTACTCTGCCATGCCAAAATCACAAATGTGTCCAAAGAACTATGTAAGAAGTCTTTTCTTCCCCTCCCCACAGCAAAACTGCAGAGAGGGAAGCATATAATCATCGTCACAGACTTTGCTTCACCAGGTTTAATCACACTATATGCTAGACAAATAGTCTTTCATTTATATACATTTACACATTTTAACTCAGATCAAAAAGTAAGTAAAAATCAATCTAAACCTCATTAAGCTAAGAAAGTAGAAGAAACAGCCCAAATTTTCAGATGTCAAATCTACACTGAAATGCCAACCACACAACGACCCTAAATTTTCACCTTCTTGTCTTTTAATATTATTCATTGATTGGGTTTTTTTTCTCCCCACTCTATACATTCTATTTGCCAACATGTCTTTGGCTCTTGATGATGCCACAAAAATCTTAAATTACGATAAAAACAAAACTAATGCTAAAGCTGCTGGGAGATGATAGCTCATCCATACAGCACTATTCTTATAAAATGTCTTATAAACACTACCTGTTATTAAAGACAGCCCATTTAATTTAGATTCTGTCCTGTTATTTGCTATGAAAGGAACTGTCGCAACTGCTCTTCAACTCTCATATTCACAAGGATGAAAAGAAAAATTTACCACAATAAAAAGTTTAGGAATACTAAGCTGTATTACTGAATAGTGATGATGAAGTACACAGTTTAGTTTATCACTAAAAACTGATTTCAAACAATGTTCAAAACAGCAGAACCTATCTGTTCATTTAAAAAAGAAAAACAAAAACCTGCAAAATGCTTCTGTATTTCTGTTTAAATAGTTTATGCTTCCAGATGGCAGTGTGCACACACTGTTGGCAGAAAGAAGGAAAGTTAACTGAATTTTCAAATACTACGTATTTATGGGACAAAATTATTTTCTAAGCAAAATCTCCAGTTCCTGCCCTGTAAGACAGTAACGTTAGCTTATCTGTCAGTTCAGAAAAGCATTTATTACCTGTGAAGTGATATTAAGTGTAACTGCATCAAGACCACCTGACAACATTCCCTGAGTGTCAGCAAGAGTCAAGGTGACACTACCATCTCCTCCAACTCCTGATGAAGACATAACCAAATTCTGGGCAGAAACTGTAGACTGAGATATGGGCGTTGATGAAGGAAGGTTTGTTCCACCTGTTGTATTAAGTTCTGGAATATATGCAAAATAGTAAAAAAAATCAAAAAATAATCTGTTACATACATAAACTCTTAGCTGCAAACTTACTTTAATTGAACTTAATTTCTCTTTCTCATTTCCTAGTTCTTTCTATTTTGGAAGCAAATAAATCAGTTAAACAGCTATCACCTGTCAAAAATTGTCAAAGTTAGATGATAAAATTAGAAAAATTACATCTAAATGTAGCTCGATGGACATCATACTGCAAAGCAGTAACTTTGTAACATGGTGGGTGGGAGATGACTCATTGCCAAAAAGACATCTGAAGAAGTTTCAGGTGACACATTTCTGTAGCCTGACCACTTTCAGAATTCTCAATGAAATACACTTCAATTCATGGCAGTAAAACCAAAATTTGCTAACTCCATAAGCCAACACTCCCACCCTTATTCTTGCAACACGGCTGATAATCCATAATAGCAAAAAAGGTCATTTTTTTATTCATAGGTATTTCATAACAGTTTGATTATAACAGCTGTGTAAGAGTTTATTATAGATTCTCCAACATACGAGCAGAGGCCTCACGGCTCTCAGTTTATGATAAGCCTCAAAAACCTAAGAGGATGATACAGAAGGTACAATACAACTGTGTTTTTGTTACTTCATTTACTAATTCATTACACAAGAGCATGCCTTAACCTTCAAATCTTATGGGATACTCTGGGGTAGGCTTCCCCCAGTATGACATTAAAGCAGATTTGCTTTATAGATGTCTATGAGCACTAGGGGAAGGATAAGGAAGATAGAGAAAATTTAAGTATGCAGAAGAGTGAAGAAAATTATTTGCTATCAGTAGTAAGTCTGTATTAGTGCAACCTGCTGCACTGGCTGAAAATATGAACAACTATATGCATGTACACATGTTTGTGTGTATATATAAAGAGGTATAGGCAGACATTCATGTACATATTTAAAATCTCAAAATTTGAATACTAGAGCAAATTTGATATAAATGATATTTTATCGTCTGCAGCAAATATATCAGATTTCTTCATCCTCCAATTTATAGAAATAGTCCTTCAATTTTTCTGTAACTACTTCAAAGTACTAATTTTAGGGATGTCATTTAGTTTTCATTTTCTTCTTACTCTGTGCACTAAAGTTCATTTAAATTGGTGTAACAATTCAAAGCTAGTGAGAAAACACACAAAGCAATGTCATTCCTGAATCATAATGTGAAAGATTATACCATTTCATATTTAGTTACCTGGTCTAATACTTATTTTTTAAAAAAGTGTTATTATTTTTAATTAGAAAAATCACTGTATGCATACCTGGAGCATTTAGTGAAGTGCTCTGAGAAAGAAGCTGGTCGTTGCTTATAGTTAACGTAGCACCTGTAGTCTGACTGTTGATGGTTGGTGCTGTCAGCCTTAAGCCACTATTCAGATCACTGCTTCCAGAATTATGCTGAATAAGATCTTGGCCTGAAGAGAAATTAGTCCTATTAAAACTGGAAAGATCTCAACATTATTCTGCTACTGTACTTGGAACTACAAACAAGTGATCATAAAATAATAAAAACAGAAAATACAAATCCAAAATTATTTTCTACACATGCAGATTTTTATGCAGAGGTTCGACAAATTTTTGATACAGATGTGATTATGCATCTTTAGATACTAATATCTAGACAAATGCCTGTGCTTATTAATATTCAGACAAATACTGATCTTACTTATCTAGATTCAAGGCATCAACTTCATGAAACTATAAAAATCTAGCAAAATAAAGGCTAATGGTTAAAATGTGATTTTTTTTCCATGTACTATATGGATAATGAATTGCATTGAACATGTCCTCTTGTGTAAAAACGTCACTTCACAAGGTGTTAATTTTGTGGAACGGTCAACAAGCATAGAACATACAGAAACTGAAAGCAGATTCTATCAGTTGTTGGACACCTATACTCCGTTTTCCTTAGATGAGTGAACATTTATTAACAAGCAGAAAAACACAGGTGGGGGGCCCTGACACCTTAACACAGAGATTATTGTCACGACACTTAAAAACACTAAACGCGTTACAGAAAATGGAAAATAAGGCAAAAAAGGAAAGGAAATAGAAAAAAGAAAGGAAAAGAAAGAGAAGAGCACTAAATATTATACTGGAACTATTAAAGAAATGTTACGATGCAAAATACAAATCATCTTTAGGGGAAATAGAAAAATATTTATAATGTATATAAGATCAGTCTCATAGAGGCAGTAAGAAAGTCAGTCTAAATTTATGCAGAGAGACCTGAAACATTAACTACATATTATAAAGACTGAATAGTACACCTCAAAGAATGATCAGAACATCTATTAGAACACGGTCCCACAGGCGTTTAAAGAAAACTAGATGAAATAAACTAATCTCCAAAAGCTGCCCTGCTTGTTCCTGTCCCAGTAGTGCCCAGGAGTGGCACAAGAAGGAAATAAGAGCTGGTTATACTGGCTTCACCACCGAGATAAACACTTACTGACTCAAGACTATGAACAAAACAGGGAACCAATCTAACATGCATCTCCAAAGCAAATGTATTTGGTTTTCAAAAGCAGATTTGGGGACTATCTTTTCAAGCTGATGAATATAAAAATATATACTATGGGAAAGCTGTGGACAGTGAAAATATCCTCAAATGCTTCTGTATAGCAATGCTCTGGCATGTAGGTCTGGTATCATTAAAAATACCAACCAGATATTGTAAGAGTGATTTCTTGAGGGCTTCCTGATGAGCTTGCACTAGTAGACCCCGAAGCATGAGCTAGAACTTGACTCAAACTGGAATTATTTATGGTCAATGTTATCTCATGTTGTCCATTGGAAGATGATACCATACCCTGTGAAGTCATGACTTGAGAGATGTCCTGTGCACCTAAATATAAGTGAGTAGAACAGAAAAAAATCCATGAAGATCCTTTCTTTATAAGAGACACAACTTTTTAAACCAATTAATACATTATTTTCTGAATGACTGTAAAAGATGAAGCCAAGGTAAGAGGCTAGAACTTGTACTCTAAAGAATAAATTGTTTTCACATCCAATTTATTGTTCTTCAGAACAAAGATTTTTTATTTTTCTAAAGACTACAGATGTTCTTCAAAATTTTCATTATGTAGTCCATCTTGTGAAAAAATTATATTCAAAAATGGTAACAAAGTTGTAAAATTTACTGAAGATGCTCATACAAGAACTGTATTAAATGATGTATTTGGGAGGTGAGGGAGTGGACTTCTCACTGTGGGTAATATCATAAGTAAAATTAAGAAATTCAAAGCACAATAAAACTATTGTCACTGCTTACCACTAGCGCTGGTTGTCAGCACAGACTCTTGCTCAGATAGGGATCCTATTGCCATGTTAGCAGAAGACGTTACTGTGGGCTGCAAAGATAGGCCTGATATAGGCTGAATAACCACATTAGCTGGCACTGCATTGTCTGTTGCCTGGAGGGAGGTATTCTGTGGAGCCATATTGGGATCTCCAGTTAGCTGCTGAGCAAGTAAATTACTCTGCTGTAACGTCTGCTGTAGAATACTCGGATCGATCTGAAAAGCAAGGTTTCAATCTGATGAATCTGAAGTTAACAAATACGGGTTAAGTGAATATTCTTCACATAAATCCAGAATTTGTATTCACTGCATATAGAGTATATATAATATTTAAACTTTATAATTAGCTATTTTAAATTTAAATTTATTTTTAAGTGTCTGTATATAGCCAGTCTCCAAAGTCACTAAGTAAACAGTCTATTCAGCTTCACCTGTAAATTCTCCCCTCCCTTCCCTCAGCAAAATGTTTGGGAAATCATGATCATAGTTCCATATGAGCACGCTGGGCACCAGGTACCCACACTACTGGCATTCCATACTGTCTTACTGCTGCACTTAACGCTTATCACTGTCTTCAGGCCTTTGAAAGTGAAAAGGCATTGAGCAGAGAGAAGACTGATACCAGAAATTATCTATTTTTTCAGCTCCTAGGGCTCATTAAGGTCCCAGTTCAGTCAAACATCTGTTCTCGATAAAGACAGAAATTTTACTGTTTAGGGATGATTGGGGAAAACAAAACTAAAATATAGTTTTGTTTTACACTAAAAATTTCTTGAGTAGAGGGACTCTGAGTAACCCAATGCAACTCTGAAGATGTCCCTTCCCCGACCTTGGGGTTGGAACCTGCTGACCTCCAGGTCTCCTCCAACCTCAATGATTCTCTAAAACTGATCAAATACAACCAAGGTAATGAAAATCATTCTTTCATATCATTTTGAATATATATTTTTAAAATGTAATCGTCTTCTCTTTTTCTGTCATTCATTTTACAAGCTCAATGGGAATTTAAATTGTGAATCCAAATATTAAAAGCTTGCCAAATAATGCAGGTGTTTTATGTTAAAGAACATTCTGTACAATAATTTGGGGGTCGGTTTGTTTCTGGGGAGGGTTCTTTTGGGAGCTTGGGTGGGGAATTTTAGCCTAAAATGTTTTTAAAGTAAAAAGACAAAATGCAATTAAAAGAAAAAAAGAAACAAAAACCAAAACCCAATCCACAACAGATTTTAAAGCAATCTGCCAAAATCCTAGATGGTAAAAAAACCCTGAAAAACTGAAAAAGAAAAAAACCAAAACAGAACCCTCCACACTGTGCAGCTATTCTTTCAGTCTTCTAACATGGTACAACTGATACAGCGTGGTATTCCCGTACGCCTCATTCAATTCAAGGGAACTCTTCCAGAATTATGCATGCTCCTTAAACTTCCTTCAGCCCTCAAAGGGACTCTGTACAATTAAAAGCAAGAAACTGCGAGCGACCTACCTGTAATGTTATGTTGTTAATACCGGTGGCATCTATTCCAGAAATTTGAACATTTTGTCCAACCAGATTAGCAGCAAGTTGTAACTGTATTCCTTCAAGAGTGGCCAAGCTACCATCTGTCAAGGACACAGTTAAGTCACCTCCAGCTACCAAAGAAAACAGCCATATTGTAATGTTTTTTTTATCATTACTGATTGCCTCTTTTAGCTTGCTTATTTTTATAAATTAAATCAATACAAAAGCTATACACACACACATTTATTTATGCCAAGAAAAATAATTTGAAGTAGATGACTGCCTATTTTAAAGCTTCATAAATTCAATTTAAAGATTGTTATTATTTACGCACTAGCTAGTTATCTTACAAAACAAGAACCACTCCAAACTAGCTTTGGAAACCTGGAGAAATTTGCTATAAGTTTCCTTTGAGAGCGTGCCATGCCTAAGTACAAGCCGCACTCACACATGGTATGTACATTCTGACTCTGAACATACACATGATGAAAGCTACTGCCACATTTTTGTGCAGCACAAATATTATTCAAGAAGGTATCAAAGTTCGTCCTACGTGCTCATGTGAATGGAAATAAAGGTGTATTACCATCTGAAATCTTTACAACTTAGAAAGCTCCTAATTTCAAAAGTTGAATAGACCATCTCTACAAAAGATCTTGAGAGAATATAAGGAAAAAGTCACCTTGTGTTTGACATACTGAAGATCTTTGAAGAAGGGAGTGTGATCAACTAGTCTCCTTTAGCTGACACTTCAAAAAACATCTATCTATCCATCCATCCCTCTCCAAAATCCTTTAGTATAATAAATCTGCTTTACAATGCACCCAAGAAATACCTGCTCTGGGCAAAAAAATCACTAATCTTGGTTTCAGAAGTTTCCTGCCTCTTTCTAGGACACCTGAACATGCTAAAGACTCCTCCTTACTGTGTTCACTCAAAAATCCAAACAAACATCAGACAGTTTTTAATCACAAATTTATCACAAACCGTGCCTTCCAATAACATCTACCAGTATCTTCTGAACAACCAAGAGTTTGTTGGTTTTGGACAACAGTTTAGGTCAAATCCTATAAGCTCAAATGGCTATAGTTAAATATGAGACTGATACATTACTGTGGATTTGTGGGCATACCTTCAAAATCATAGACATGTACTGAAAAAAGTGCCAAAGTAGCACAGAAAATCAAAGTCTCACTTTCAGAAGTGACAGACAGTCCAAGACCTCAATTTAAGTAGCAAATTTAACAGTATCAGGGAACATTTTGAGACACTTGAACACTACCGTGCTCTTAAAAATGTCCCTGTGGCCAGCCAGCACATAGACCAGCAATTCCTGAGAGCAATTGAGAAGTTAGCAAGGATCATTCTCAAAAGGCCATTTACTTGCAACATGAAGCATGTTGAGCATTCCTTGCCAGTTGGCCTCCGAGTCAAAGAATGGTCTGTGACACATTTAATGTGCTAATGCAGCTGTAGCCACTGTCAATTGGTTAGTCTTCAGATCCTAGGCTATAGTTATTCAACCTACATGCCTATACTAGTAGTTTTTTGTACATCTAAAGTGTTTTCTTGTTTTGTTTTTTTGGCAGAGTTTTTTTTTATGGGGTGGTTTTTTTCTTTCTATTTTGGACCATCAAGTACACAGGTACAGCAGAGCACGTGCACTAAAACATGCTCTTCATTACTTATGTAAATAACTAGTATAAACAAACTTTGAAAGCTTACAGAATAACTGTTTTGCTTCTCTCCTTTTTAAGAGAAGGCAACAGAGCATTACCAAAAAGAATACAAGTACTCCAGCTACTTGTTATCTGTATTTTCTTCCTTTTGCAGTATAACACCACATCAGAAACGAAGAGATCTTTTAGCTGAGCTACATACATTTTCACCTTCATTCTTAAATAAATAAATGTCTGTCACCACCATCCATGGAATCATTAATTCAGTACAATTCTTACCTGTTTGGAAGTAGTGTTTCACATAATTTTCTGAACTCTAATAGAAAGCAAAGTTCAGCATTTGATCTCACCACCACCACCACAAAGTCATCCATTTTTACCTGACACTGAAGCAGGCAGGATAGCCTGGCCCACAAGTCCTTGCTGAAGTAAGTTTTGATCAAACTGACTCGTCAAAACGGAGTTATTCATGATAAAAACATTTGGGTCTGTTGAGGATGAATTAAGAAGACTGACTGGTTGCAGTCCCTCAGTTGAAGTACGGGCAACAGGCTTCCTAGCTTTCTTTGTCTCTGGTTTATAATGACACTGTATGTGGGTTTTTCTGCGCCCTGAAGTACGAAACCGTAAATCACAGTGTGGACATTTAAAGGGCTTTGCTCCTGTATGCAGACGCATGTGGACTTTTAGACTCCCTTTTGTAGAAAAAGAATTACTGCATACATGACAACTGAAGAGCTTCTGGCCTGGAAAAGTTTCAAAAACAGAAAGATAAATGATAAAACCTCTAAAAATCAATAGAGTATACCAACAATTTAAAAAAATACAGATCTTTAATTTGAACAAAATAGATTTGAAATAACTAGCCTTTTTCTTTATAATTTTGGCTGTTTTGCAAATGAATTAAGGTGCTCAATTAAGGGTATCTTAATTTTTTCCTATTTCTAAAACTCAATATGCTCAAACTTTTACGTAGACTCTTATTTGGTCACCTTGCTGCCTCTATCCTCCTCCTCACCTCTTACCTTCCTGACTAAATCAAGTTGTTTCAACTACACAGCTCATAAAACTGGAGAATTAAAAGTTTCATCTCAACCTCTTCAGCATTTGGCTTCTCCTTATTTAAGTCACTCATCTCCTTTTTAATTCCAGCAGCTTTATTCTTCTGTTTTAGCCTTTAGCTCAATAGTGACTAGTATTAATGGATTACAAGTAGGAAACTAACAAACTTTATAAGTGAGATAATATTCTAAAACAAAATACCAACCAAGTCAAAGTAATCTAGTACAGGAATCTGGTGTATACCCATACAGTCGTCTTTTTCTCTGCTCTCCTTTCAGACTGCATAGCATTTGAAAAAAATCCTTGGTCTCAAATGGAGTTTTTAATGTACTACAAATAACAAGTTAACTATGGAGTTCAGTACATTAACCATATGCGCAATTGTACAATTCACAAAAAGCATAATGTAAATATCTGGCAGAAAACATGCCACTCTAGCTGAAAACCCACTGTAACTCCCTGAAATTCCCAGGCCTTTCACCACAATATTGCTTCCTAGCTAAACAAGGGAAAGAAATCAATGTATTTTGTACAGCTGTGTTACCAAAGAATAAAATCAAGACTTCTCTATAGCTGTGATGGAAAAATACATTTTAAAAAAATGAAAAGGAAAGAAACACAGTACTAAGTGTGACTAAGTTACCAGCTTACCTGGAAAACCATTATATCAACCCCGAAACTCAACTTCCAGATCAGAACGCACTACTGTATTGGGGTGATGCTAGTCATTGCCAGCTGGTAAAGAAGTCACAAACCCAACGCGTGCCTATGATTCCTGCTATTGAGTTCTAGTTGCCATTTACACAGAAGAATCTCTCATCTCTCATCAAATTCCTGAATTACAATTCAGTCTACTTCAGACTACAGATTTAGATTACAAAACCCTAACAGTGTTGTCACTTTTTGTTCAACAAAGCTAAGTTAACTTCTGACAATGTTCTATTTCAAATAATGGAGAAAAGCCCAAGAATAACATGAACCAGTAAGACAATGCGGATCTGGGCTGCAGCAAAGCCATGTACCACATTCAGAGTACCACAAAGAAAACCATCTAGCAGTCTTTCCCACTACAGAAAACAAATGCCTACTGGGAGAATGGAGAAGAAAAAAAAAAAAAAAAAAGAGAGAGAGAGAAAGAAAAGTTAACAAAACAAAAAAAGTAAGCACTGAGGAACAAACTGAACACTTGAAATCCTGTTTAAACAGAACATTAAAATATTCAATCAGATTATGACCTGACTCTTGGGCTTTTTGAGTAAGTGCTAGGAATCTGAAAAGAAAAAAGAAAGACGGATGAACTGCAATGTAAAACTATCTATGGACACGGAGGTGGGGGCCACAAGGGAAACTTGGCGGGAAGGTGATCACAAATTGGGATGAAAAGCCCTACAGAAAGGGCAAATGCCAAATTGGCATTGCTTCCACATATAGTAAAATAAAGAGTGTTTCATTACACCTACAATTATGCCATACTACTTGCTACCCAAGTAAAACATTAACAAGAACATTACACATACAGGAAATTAGAAAAGCAATGAAGACACAAGTACAATAATGCGTGACTTCAGTTATCCCACTATATGCTATGCCAGGATACAGGAGCTAAGTGTTCAGCCAAAGAACTGTATCTCACAGAAAAACTTCCAGCCAGCCTGCTGGTCGGAAAGGTGGTGATACAACAGAAGCTACAGTAAAACCCCAAACCAACTCTTTGCATCAATGTTCAGGTAGGTTCCCATCCAGGCAATGTTCTTTTACAGGGGAGAACAGCAGCTTTTCAAACTGAAAATTAACTCTATCCTAGCCAAAACCAGGACAAATGTTGTTAGGTAGGGAAGTTCCAGACAATCAAACTGTATTTTTTTTTTAATTGTTCATTTAAATAAAGTAAGTATGGCTTAACATAAAACCAATGAACTATTAGCTGTGGGTGCTGCCCACAGATTAAAACAGCCCTCTTAAAAGGGATGCAGGCTCAAATGCAGAAACGACACATCAGTTAAACTTCATGTTCATCCAACACCAGCTGGCCCAATTATAAAAGGAAACAGAAAAAAAAAATAATTCCACAAGATCTAATGAGTTATAATAGAGAACAGTTGATGTGGTTTTTGTAGTGAAAATTACGCTTCACAAATCCATGAAAGCTCTTTGAAGGAGACCAGATTTTCACTGACAAGACTGTATCGGAATTTCTGGAGTTCTACACTGGTTGTTTATGAAAGGACCTTAGAAAAACTGCTGTCACAGGATGAAAGGACATAGTCCTTTCATGAATGAAAGAAAAAAAGGTTCTAAGACTGAAAACAAAAGGTAGGATTATATGGACAATTTTCACAAGGCTGGAAGTCAGCAAGGGAGTTCTTGAAACACCTGAGCAAGGACCTAAGCTAGTCAAAATTGTAATACACAGTGTGGAAGAGAGGATGAACAACAGGTTGGAAAAATCTGTGAAGGATATTAAAATGGTCATTTACAAAGCCCTGTTTTATATTATTTAAAAGTCTGTAAAATCATAAAAAGCTTAAAAAAAGAAAAAACAGAGAACAATTTCTCATTATTTCTTAAGCAAAAGAACTAGTGGGCTTAGGAACAAAATCATCAGATGGTACACTGAAAACCAAATTTGAATCAAGGAACTTACTACTACTGGATGTACTGGAGGCCATTCATTTTTATTCAGTTTTTCTGGGTTCAGAGAACAATTGGATTAAAACTAGTGTAAAATATTGCATTAAAGGTAGTGAGCAAAAAGATACAATCTCTAGCTCAGAGTCCTACAGCTTGCAAACTGTTTGAACCTGGAGGAACATGATCAAATCCCTGGTTTGTTCTTTTCATTATCCTTAGCATTTGCTACTACCTGCAACAAGATACTAATCTACTCAGAGATCTGGTATAAAACACAAGAGCAGTATTTCTTACTAAACAACAGTAGAAAGTACAAATACAATGAATTAGAAAGGTAGCTTCCATGAGCAAAATAATTATATATTACAGCATTAAAAGCTTGCTTTTTTTTTTTCCATTTTTGAAAAAAGTTTATAATGCACCTTAGCAAAACTGTAGCCAGTTTTAGAAATTAATTGGGTTAGGATTGGGTTTATTATATAAGTTCAATGGTAAGAAGAAAACAAATATAAAAGATTTAAAGATTTTTTTTTTAATTTATGAAAAATTGGGGTTGAAAAATACTACTAACTAAAGTCAGACCTCTCTCAGGAATATAAAGAAACTACAGTAAAACCCTAAATATTACAGAAATTAGGTTTACATTCAACTTGCATGATTCAAATAGCAGAATGCTCAAGTTTTTTGTACTCTTTCAATCTACTTAGCAGCACAAACATTAATTTTTTTTTAACTTCATTTTATAAAATCCTCCAACTCCACCCTCTTGCTCAGAAAAATCATTTAGCATCAAAATATGATAATTAAAATCTTATATACACAAACATAGTTTTTCCATGAGCTAAGACTATGACTATTATAAGCCTACTAATACAGAAGGCTATAATAATATGGTTTATCAAAAATATCATAATATGATTTATTTGATGATGCAGTTAGCACCAAATTTCACCTAGCGCTGCCATTCATAGTGCCATTTCCTAGATCATAGTGAAACATACCATTCCTTGCAAAATCTTTAATTAAAACAGCCTGTCAAGAAAGTAACCGGTTTCTAAACAAAGACATTCAAAATCTTACTGACCTGTGTGTGTTTTAACATGACAATCCAGAGTGGATTTTACAGTGAAACTCTTTCCACATTCATCACACTTATACGGCTTCTCTCCAGTATGGATACGAACATGTCTAATAATTACAGAATACATGTATATGTGAATTTCTACTTTTATGTCATAAATATTTTTATGTAAAAATATTTATTTTGTCTCTAATTTTAGAATTAATTGAATACTTATATTAACATTACATTAAGCAGAACTAGTAAAGAAGATGATTTGAGCATTTGCCATTTTTCAAACTGATTTTTACATGGTTTTACGTGCAAGTCCTATAGCAAGAAAAAATCATTTACTCTAAAGCTTTGTAGTAATCATTTTAATACTGCAGGAAAAAAAATAACAAAAGGCTGGTTTAGTCATATTCAGAATATATAACATTATGACACGTATTTTTAAACCACCCTGAACCAGAAAAATGTATGTAAATATAAGTCAAGCTTTAGCTTAGGCATAAAAACATTATAGGAAACTATAACGGCTACGTTTCTGGTGAACAATTTAGAAAATTGAAAATACACAAAACTTTTCCATTCCTTACCTGACTAAATCACTGGGTTTTTTAAAGCTTTTGGGGCAATAACTACAACAATTGGCATATTTGGGCTCTGACTCCAGTTCTGCTTGTTTATCTTTGATCTCACTAATTCTGTCTTTCTCTGCAGCAGATTGGACAAGAACTTTTTCAGAGACAGTGGCACTTTCTCGAGGCCTAATCTTTGCCAGTTCTGCTGTTTCTTCTTCCGTAAAAGTTATGACACCAGGACGAGATTTTCTGGAAGTTCTTTCAGAGTTTTCATCATCATCTTCAACACATGCAACTATTAAAAAAAAAAAACCCAAAACAAACCATATATATACACACACGTCTGTTTAGTTTAATCCGCCAGCTGAAATTGCAGAAATAGAAGGGTTTATGATCAAACACATGGCCACCACATTACGTGCTTGCACTTAAATCTCTTTCAGAGGTCTTTCAGTAGTTACTCATGTCTGTATTTCTTTTAAATAAAGTTGGATTTGTAATTCTTATTTTTACAATAATTAAATACAGGTATAAGTCATTTAGGACAAAAAATGCTCTACCCCTGGAAAACTGATTTCTTTAAGCAATTTACATAACAGAGTGATTTCAGTGGCTGTGGACATTAGACATTGTGCATGCTGGAAAGCTAATTTATAACATTACTGTTACAGCATTCATGTAATCCACTGAAACATTTGTACTTGTTTTGTAGTTAAGGACTGTAAGAGTAAAAATGAAATAATTTACCTCCCCCTCCTGTTTCTGTAGCTGCTGCTACAGCTGAGGAGACTGCCTGATGTTTTTTCATATGTTTTTTGCAGTGAACAGTTGTTCGAAAGCTTTCATCACAGAATGGGCACTTGTAAGGCTTCATGCTCATGTGAGTTGCCATGTGCCTCCTAAGGCTGCCATTAGTTGTGAAGGAGGTATTGCAAATGCTACAGCTGAATGCTTTAACTCCTTAAAGTAACAGAAACAAATAAGTAGCATGCCATTTGTTTAAGTTTACTTATACAGGACATTTACAAAACCCAAACGTGAGTCAAGCTAATATAGAGCTGGTAAGCTCTGTTACCTGTATGAGTCTTCTCATGTGATTTAAGAACTCCCGAGGAAACAAAGCCACGGCCACAGAGTTGGCATTTATAAGGTTTCTCACCAGTATGTGATCGTACGTGTTGTTTCAAATGGCTGGATTTCTTAAAACCCTTGTTGCAATATTCACATCTATTAGAAGAAAATTGGTTTTATTAGTTGCACATAATTACTTGCCATAAAAGATTCAGGAAATTCTGCAACAAAACCTGAAAGTGTGACAAACCTATACGAACGCCTGCTTTGATCTTCATTATCTTCAAGAAAATGAGGCCGTTGGGTGTGCAATTCAAGTTCTTCTTGTGATGACTGATCTTGTATCAAGCGAGTAGTCTAGAAATCAAAGCCTCACGTAAATTTCAGTAACACAATACTGAAATGAAGTCACACAAACAGGCGAGAAGAGATTACAGCATTTACAGTCAACACAAGTAATCTAAATGATGCTTTCATAGATTCTTGAACAAGAAATTAAGACTGCGATGAGATACCTCACTCTCATAGTTAGAAGGAAAGCAGCAAAATGTGCACCTACTGAATCATTATAAACGGACAACACAGTGCACTTACACCTCCTTGTGAATCTAGACAAAAAGGTGTCTTGAATCTTGTAGATTTTCTGGTGTTTGAGGGGTTAAATTTAACACTAAACCA